GCCTTTAAGTGGCTGCTTCCACAAAGCTGTCAGCCTCAGGTTGCTGGAGTTCGAACCTCACAACTCGCCCGCTGGCCAAAAGTGCCCTGAAGGCGTTCAAGGAACAAAAAAAAAGAAAAAAAAAAATCCTTAAAACCAAATGGAAGGCCACTTTAGGGGAAAGTGTATATATCCAAGGTCTGCAGAGGGCAACCAAATTATACTTCCAAGGGCAGTGATCAGCATGGTTAAAGATCTGCTGGTGCATAGAAGCAGTATTGCACGAGCCAGCACTGGCACCAGATCCTGGAAGCCTCTGTGCAAACTGCAGTATTGGAATTGTCAGACACGAAATCGGGGCCTGGTGGCACATGCCTGTAGTCCCAGCACTGGGGAGGCTGAGGCAGGAAGGATCACGGTGAGTTCAAGGCCAGCGTAGGCTACACAGCAACTTCAAGGCCAGTCTGAACTAAATTGGGAGGCTCTGTCTCAAAAAACTGAAAATTAAAAAAAAAAAATTAAAACCCCATAATTGTCAGACACAACTGTTATAAGATCAGTGCTACTTTTTTAAAATTAAAAACATGACAAGCTTAAAAATATCTTAATATGGGGCTGGGGAGATGGATCAGTGGAGTGGGCGCTTCCCTGGCAAGTGCAAGGGCCTAAGTTCAATCCCCAGTTCCACAAAAAAACAAACAAACAAACAAAAAACTTAATACAACAGGAAAGTGTAAACTACAACATAGAAAGTTTTCAAAGATGCCAGATAAAATTTCTAGAAAATAAAAAATAACTGAAACTTGGGACAGGGGATATAGCTCAGTGGTAGAACTTTTGCCTACTATGTATAAGGCCCTGGGTTTGATTTTCTAGTACTTTAAAAAAAAAAAAAAAAAGAAAGAAAAGAAAAGAAAAGAAAGAAAGAAAAGAAAAAAGAAAAAACTCTTGAAACTCAAAATGGAATAGATACTTCATACTGGCCAAAGAGGGAATCAATCAGGAAAAAATCAATCATTTTTCCTTTTCATATATGCTAGCATTGGGCCAGGGATATAGCTCAGTGACATAAGCACCTGACTGGCAAGTGCAAGGTCCCAAGTTCAGTCCCCGGTACCACCAAAAAAAAAAAAAAAAAAAAAAAAAAACATATATGCTAGCATTTAGAGGAGGTTATCTAGAATGCTGCAGAAGTTAAATTATGATCTTAATGAAAGAGATATTTGGGGACAGAGGTTTGATCCAAGAGCCTCAAACAATGGAGAGTTACTCACCTGCTTTTCTCAAATGCAAGGCTAGATTGTTTTATATGTAGACAAATACACATATGTGCATGAGTATAGGCAAGGTGTGTTTGAACTAGTAATGGAAGGGGATTGGCTCCCTACAGTGCAACTTGATTGCTGTTCACTCATGACGCGGTACGACTGGTGACTATGAGGACTTAAGGTGCACACAGCAGCCAGCACATCGTCATTCTCCTCAAAGGCATGCAGAAAATAGGTTGTGAGCCATGAAATGGCCTTTTGTTTCCCTGGCTTCACAGATCTTCCGTGATGGCCTGGCCTATCAGTCATAGATGCTTGAGCTGTGAGGGAATTTCTAGTTATAAATACAGACCAAATTGCAAGGGGCCACGCAGGAGAAGGACCCGATGATGAATTTGCTTGTTCGGTTGCTAACAAAGGATTCAAGCACCTCTTTGTAGACCTCTTATTCCAGAGTCTGGGCTTTAAAATTTGTAGTGAGATCTCTCTGTGTGTGTGTATGTGTGTGTGTGTGCGCGCGCGCGCGCGCACGTGTACACTTTTCCCTCCCTTTTCTTCAAGGATAGTATCAAATAGAAAACAATATTGTCTTTTGGATTTTTTTTGTTTTTTTTCTACATTCTAAAGGCAAATTAGACTGATATGTTCCCCTTCGTACCTTGATGTATTTTGAAATCTGTTTCTTGTATCAAGGCCATTTACATAAAAGTGGGATCTTTGTAATTGCAGTTTAATAAATATTCAGTGTGCCTGGTCCTCATTAGAATTCAAAATAGACCCTTGTCTGAGTCTGACAGTGGGAGCCAATTGTGAAAGCCCAGACTAAGAATTCTGAATGACTCTGGTTGAGGGACAGTCTTGCTTCTCGGCATATTGACTATTACGTAATGTTGTCTCAGCACATCTATTGTGATTTTAGCAGCGTTCTGCGACATAGCTGGAGATCAGCCCAGCTGACCTTGCACAAACGTTCTGTCAACCTGGAACCACTGAGTCTGCCTCCAGCTCTCTTGGTGGTGTAGCAAGACAGTGGATAAAAGTCACTGTCCTACACAGGCTGGTTCTGGCAGACCTAGATGTCAGTTTCCTTCTCCATAAAATGAGGATTGAAATTTAAGGTTGAACATACCTAGTCCAAGAAGTATGAAATGCTCCAAAATTTGACCTTTTTTTTTTTTTTTCTTTTTCTTTTTTGTACCAGGAATTGAATTTAGGCTCTTGTGCTTACCAGACAGGTGCTTGTGCTGCTGGCCCAATTTGAGCTTTTTAACTGATGAAATGAGGCCACTAGCAGAAACTTCTACCCTTGATTGCATGTGAGAGGTTGCAGTCAGAGTGCAAGTGCACTAAAAGTATTGTGCAAAATTACCTTTGAGTTACATATATAATCCATAAATGAATCTCATGTTATAACATAATGCTGCATTGTATGCAGAAAGCTTTCTTCTATATTTAAGTTTTGTTTTGTTTTGTTTTCTCTTAGGTAAAGTATCAGTTAGGATACATCCAGGTGCCAGGATCAGAGAATGGCTTCAGCTGCCTTACAATCATGGGGCTCAAATTGGAAGTTTATTTGAGGTTGTCAGAGAAGTGACAACTGGGAGGCAGGAGATGAGCAGCCATTGTCCTTAGATGAGGATAACCTGGGTTAGATACTAAGTGTCGTGGGAGCTATGGGAGATTCTCAACATGCTAGATCCAGCCATTTACTCCAAAAAACCAAGTAGATGAAGTGGCGAAGTAGGAAAGGAGTTTATTCAGTGCAGCCACTCTAGGAAGGAACAGAGGACTAGGATCCTAACCCTGTCTTACAGGTACTGACAGGAGTTCATGATGAAAGGGAAAAGATGAAAGGAGGGGGATAAAAGGAATAAATAGTCATGTGGTCCTGGTCAAACTGTGGTCTGGTTGATCATCATTCTAGATCTAGTCTGATAAGGTCCGGCTGGCCGTGGGGAAGTTGTTGTTGCTGGAGAGGGCAATTTTTGTTCCACTTGGAGTAGTTGCTCCCATTTAGAGAGACAACCTCAGTTCCCATCATGGGGTAATTGCTCCTGCATGAGGGGAGCTTCTTTTCTTATCCTGGGATGGCCTCCATGCAAGGCTTGCTGTGGGATGTGGCTCATGGTGGAGCTGTTGCCTTCCATGTATAAAGCCTGGGGTTTGATTTGAGAAAAAAAAACAAAAAACAAAAACTTGCCATTCCTGGAATCTTGAAAATATCTTAGGTATTCTTATTTTGGTGTCTTCAGTCTTGAAAGGATATAAGAGAAGATGGGTAAATTTAGGGCTAATTTACTTTATTCTTACCAGGTTTTAGACAGGCATTCTTCAAGTGATTAACATGTACATCTGTGTACAGGGTCGAGCAGGAATCTGACCCAAAACTTAACAATAGAAGAGACAGTAAGTGCAGGCCCAAGTGAAAAGTTAGTGCTTTAAGCAAAAGCAACCTTTAAAGTTATGTTACAAAAGTTGCTGAGTGGCTGTACTACCTCCAGCTGTCCTGGTCAGAGGGAGTGCCAGCTGGCCAGAGTGGGCAGAGACAGATGCTGGCTCTTTTGGCATCTCAAGTGGGAAAGGTTGAACTGCCTCCTGGCAGGATTGCACACAATGTGAGTGCCTTCAAAGCATCGTCCATTACAGATAGATTTCTTAAGTAGACCTATCTCTTAGGATGTAAGCAGTATTAAGCCTTTGGGATATGTATGTGTGTGTGTGTGTGTGTGTGTGTGTGTGTGTGTGTGTGTATTTAATTTCACCATAATGTGCCAGAAACTGTCCCCCATCATGAACTTAGTGACAGATTTTTGTATAAAACCTAATACCCCTCTTCAACCCTTATTCTTCTTGAATAACTTCTAGGGTTTGAGGTGTTCTCTGGCAGAAAAAGCTCTTCTTCCTTGATTTCCATGATCAAGCGTCATCCCTATGCTTCAGCTGCTTAATCCTTTCCTTCCTTTTCTGCTTATTGTGTACTGATTCCATGGTATGGTAGGTCTTGAGGATGAAACATCAAGTAGTCTCAGTCCTGGCCTTGTGGAGCCCTCAGTCTAGTGGGAAGGCCGTAGACCCAGGGCAATGATAGAAAGGCTTTACTGGACACTGTTGAGTGTTACAACAAGATCATAAGCTCATTTCAGAAAGCTGACTAGAATGTAGTGGGCAAGTGGGAGGAAAGACCATTCTAGGCAATGAAAAATATAGATTTGAAGAAGACACCAACAACACTAGGTTTCTCAGATAAGAATTAGGGGTGTCTGGCGGGGATACAGGGCATCTGCCTACAAGACCCAGAAAGTACAGCTAGGCAGACTGGAACCAGGCCATGGACAACTTTCTGTTTATTCAGGTTTCCCTTGACTCTTTTTTCCTTTTCCTACTCCATGTTGAAGAGGTTACTTAGTGTCCAATCTTTTGATTTTTTCCTTTTTCCAAGGGCTTAGAGTTTCCAGGCTGTTTCACCTCCTGTCTTGGATGGCTTCATGGGCACACAGCACCTGTGCATATCAGACCCAGCTTCCTCCAAATCCCTAGGCCTGTATCTTCAGCTGCTGCCAACGGCTTCTCTTGACTGCCCATGGTGTCCTCTCACTCTGTCCTCAATTCCTTGGGGATGCATAATCATCCTCCTAAAACAGCTTCCTTTTCCATGCTTCCTATCTTTTTCAAGCTCAGTATATCCTTATCCCTTTGTGCCTTCAGTGGCCAGAGAGGAATCCTTTGTGATCGAAATGAGCAACTGTTACTGTGTCCAGTGGCAAAGTAGAAAGCAAACAACAGATTTGTACCCAGGAGGAGCACATGCCGAGAACTGCCAGATCATCTGCTTGTTTATTTTTTTAAAGAGAAAACTGAAATCTGGATCTGAAGTGAAATCTCCCAGTATTTTAGTGTTAACAGTAAATTCCCATTTGAAAAAATACCATGTAAGCCAAATAAAACACGTCACCATGCGCAACCTTGGGATCTCTTTTCCCCATCTCTCTGGTCAGCCACAAGGCCTGCTTATTCTGAACTCTCCTTACTTTCTGTTCTCCTCATTCTATTTGTTTCTTTGTCATATTCATGTAGCCATTAAAAATAATAATGAAATATTTTTGCTGGTGAAAAAAAATGATTGTAATTTTGATCAGATTTCTATAAAATGTGACCGTAGCTTGAGATTAGAATGTGAGGTGTCTCTGTGACAACCATCTCCCCAGCCCTCAGTGCTGTACAAATAAACAGGATGGGTTTCTCTCCCTAAGAGTTCTTATTTTTTTAGCACATGCCTTTTTAAATTATTTTTAGACTGTTTATCTCCTGGACATTTCTGAAATTTTTTAGAAAAATGACTCTTTTTATCATAGAGATAGTAGATAATAAGTAATGAAACTATGTACTGTGAAACAGGGAACTGGCTGCTGTGATCCAAGAGAATGCTGTGATGCTCCAATGTACATATCAGTATTGCTCGATAACATTCCAGGAACTAAAGATCCAGTTCCTAGACCTGTGCTTCCCTTGGCCCCTTCAAGTCCTTCTCCCATCCTGCGCCTTGTGGTTGCTCATGAAGTTTGTGTGATGTACGTGTTAGGTGCTTGTGGTCAGAATGTCTTTCGTATGTGACCACATCACTGGTGACTGCCCTGATTTTGAGTTCTGAGTGTGGAAAAGCCTGTTTTTCTGCTAATAGCATTTATTTGGAAAGCGAGAATGAGAGCAGTAAGTTCAAATGTTGATACTTCAGCTTAATCCAGGCAAAATGAAGCCTTTGAGAGAGGCGCAAAATTGGAAACCCTTTGCTTAATAGAATGTGATTGATAGGGGCTGACAGCCTCTGAGCCGTCACCATGACCACCTCAGAGACCTCCACGCTTCTGAGGGTCTAGGAGGAGGCACTGGTATTTGCTATCATCAAGGGGTCAGAAGTGATCACAAAATACAACCTTTTTAAAAAATTATTTTTACTTGGTGTGGTTGGGAAGGATCAGGTGTGAGATTTTTGAAGTAGTTTCTGTTCTTACCAAGTAATAATTACACCATATGGATTTTGATTGGTGGTGTTCCTGATGCACTTGCTTCTACACATTGTCTGGCAATGTGAGTTGATCTGCTTTCTCCATTTCTATATGACCTGCACATGTGGACTGAGTTTGGAAGAATATCAGTAGTTTTAGGAGAAAATACAGTGTGTTTTACTGATACGGTTTGTCTACCTGCTTGTGGGAGAAAAGGCACCCAACGCCTGTTTGATTTTGCTAATCAAGCCTGACCCTTCAGGAGTTCATTATTGAACTCCTCATTCACATCCCGATTTTCGTTTGTATTTGTAAATTGAAATAGAATGAAGAATTAAATTCTATTTATGGCTGTAATTACCCAAAGTGGGTGAGTCTAGGGATCGAGGAAGTCACTTAGTGTCTTTTCACATGCAAAATCAATAGCTTTAGCCAAATAATCTCTGCAGTTTTATCCACTTACTTGAAAAAAATATATCATTGTTCAACCTTTGCTTTTGGTGGTTCTACCCCCACCCCACTCCCAAGTAATCAAATAAGGATCTTTTCAGGGTGACGGGTGCCAGGTTAGGTACCTGTGAAATCATACCTGGGATTCTTACCTTCAGTGTTACATATTGTATTGGTCAAAAAAAATTATGTACATGAATATCTTTTCTTTTCAGAACAAAGTAAGAAACATAGGGAAACATTTTGATGAAAGAGAAAGAGAAAGCCTGGTGGGCTCAGTATGTGCTAGGTTAGGAGAACAAAGGAGTAGAGTAAGAGTGCCACCACTCCTATGTCTGTGTTCAGAAGTAGATGATACAGAAACTTCTGTTTGTCTTTTAGAGCCATTATTAGTTACATACTTAAAATGAAGGGGTAGACTTTTTTTAAAAAATTCCCTAAAATGAAATTTTTGGTATGGTTTTTCATGCTTCTCTTCCTTTAAAAATTATAATTACAAAATGGATTAAATGGAGGTAACTCATAGGGTTATAAAGTCAGTTATTCACAAAGTATTCTCTTTGTATGCTGTCTAAAAGTAAATTCTAATACTGCATAACCTTTTTGACTGTCTAGCATTTGCCACTCAGTTTTAAGATCCTCCCAAACTCCTGCCAGTTGTATGTGCTCAGAACAGGGGATACAGGTTTGTTTTAATATTAGCTGTGATCCCCACCATTGCTTGGAGAAACAGTAACATTGTTAAATAAAATTCCTTAAACAGAAATAGAATTAAAGAAAAATAGTAGCCAACAAAATTTTCAACTAAGGTTTAAAATTCTGTGTAGTTTTAGAAATTATTACAGTGAAAATGTGACTTTCTTAATTTGTGATTGTACAGTGTACCTCTCCCAGCAAGGTTGGTTGTGTGTCCACAGGTAAAGCCCTGTCCCTGCTCCTATTCACTGCAGAGTATGCTTCCTGGTAGGCCCTTGAGAAAAATGGTTCAATTGTAGACCAGTGCCCGCAGTCCAGAGACGAGGCCCAGATGACTTATTTTTGGCAGTAGTGCAGTAGACACCCACTTGAGACTCACATGTTTGAATAAAGTAGGAAGGACTGGTTGGCATACGTTAATTTGTGCTTTTTAGAAAATGTAATTATCCTATACCAAATCCCTTGGAAATGCAATGTCATAAGCTCTGATTATTAGTTGTAAATACTTGACTCCAGATGTTGCTGCTTCAGTGAAGATTTCTGTCAGCTCTAGGGATACATTAATTAGCTCCAGCAGAACTCCACTGAGGGCTTGGTATTT